GCGCCGACACCTTCTTTTTGTTCCGGTTGCCGGCGATCGGTTCCCTCGGTCTTGTTCCCGCTGCAGCCGGCGCGTATTACAAGTATTTATGCCGTCTACGCATATAATGTAATTGGACGCGTCGCGATACGGAGAGCGTGGGCGTTCACCGCAACGCTACGCTACGCGGCGACTTCGGCTCGTCTTTTTACCGGCGAGGTTCCGAGCGTCTTTGAGACCGGGCCTACCAGGCAAAAATCGAAATTTAATATTTATGAGGTTGTCCGGGTGGCCGGCACACCGCCCGTTCGCCGTACCCGATCAAATCTGGCCAACGATCCGTTCCGTCGCTAATTATCAAGGAATTGGATCCGTTAATATATTACCGCCGTTAAAAGTTACAACACTACTCTCGGCAAGCCCTTATCATTTGTTAATCCATCGCACCGCGTTGGCGCCGTGCACACCGCGCCTTGCGAGATACCATGACCACGATCATGCTGCGGATCTTAACGCAAGAGTAATACCGTAGAAGACTGTAACATGAAATCCGCGATCTGCTGGCTATCGCGATAATACCATTTTATCGTGCATTACAATGAAATTGGTTCTTAAAGTTCAGTTAAACTTGTGTGCAAAAGTGCAAACTATAATATTTTTAAGTTTAACTTAAAAGTTGAAGTTAAGTTAACTTAAGTTAAGCTAAATCGACATAACCTTAAGTTTAACTTAAAAGTTAAAGTTAAGTTAACTTCAGTTTAACTTAACTTAAATTAAAATGAAAATAGAGAAGTGCTTAAGTTAAGTACTTAACTTTAAGTACTTTAAGCACTTACTTTACTTTAAGTACTTAACTTTAAGTACTTTAAGCACTTACTTTACTTTAAGTACTTAAGTCTAGCTTAACTTAAGTTAAACTTAATTTAACTGAACTCAACTTAAGTTAAACTTAATTTAACTTAACTCAACTTAAGTTAAACTTAATTTAACTTAACCCAACTCTCTTAAGTTAAACTTAATTTAACTGAACTCAACTTAAGTTAAACTTAATTTAACTTAACTCAACTTAAGTTAAACTTAATTTAACTTAACCCAACTCTCTTAAGTTAAACTTAATTTAACTGAACTCAACTTAAGTTAAACTTAATTTAACTTAACTCAACTTAAGTTAAGCTTAATTTAACTTAAC